AACTTCATTTCAGCCCATATCATGTAATTAAAAACTCCTGCGATCATCCGGCGTTTAAACCATTGGAATTGAAAGCATGCAGAACAAAAACGACTACAGGTGTAGAGAGAAGGCATCCTTTTTCCCCTTCCAACTCTAGCTCTCGTCGTTCAGTGAATCCGAAACATCTGCGCCTTGCGTCCTTGCTTTTATCTCATCGTGCTCCTACGTAGACCCAGGCAAAAGCCCACCAGGCAACGGCATGCAGGCAAGATCCCCTTTTGGAAGCCAGCCCGTTGCCCAGCCATCGCATCGGCTCGATGCTGAAACGGCTGTATCTTCGATCGCCAGCAGCCATGTTTGGCACCGTCATCCTTTTCAGGCACTTGGGGCGGGTATTTTTAGTTCACCAAGCCGACTGATAGACGTCTAGCTAAAACCTTTTTGGAGCCTTTCTTTGCTCTTTCATATTGGATTTGGGTTTAGTTTCTTACGTCTGACTAATAAAAGAGTTTTTGAATAAATCTTTCATCAAAATGTGATTTGAAAATTGATGTTTTTGTTTAATAAAATTACGTATCAAGGGATTTAAGATTTCAATTAGCCTTTTATTAGTAATATATCTTTTAAAGGTAATATTAAATACTGTAGGATATATACAGATGCTAACAAACCAATTTACCAGTTGCAATGTTGTTTAATTACTGTATCAGCTGGAATTATATTGAGTCTGTAACTATTTTACGATATTCAAATAGTTGTGCACGTTAGTGAATAAAAAGTTAAGTTAGTAAGCCGAGTTTCCTTAAATTGGGGTTTTTGACCAATTTGTTTTAGATAGAGAAAGAATTTAGATAGAGAAGCTTAGTAGAAAGTAGACAACACTTCATATAAGTACCCAAACTTTGAATGGGTACTTGGCAAATACATTTCTTTGAACACCACCATATAGCCTCTTCATCCATATCCATTATACTTTAATTCGACAAATTTCTCGTGCTATTATGCAATATTATCATAAATAGTTAGGACATTTTTTAAACGTTAAGAACATTCTTCATGTTCCAAGCTTATACATCCCAAGAAATACATCGGCTTTCTAAAATTTGACATGATACATCATCCCACTCATCTTTGATTTACTTAGATATGGTTCAAAGAGAAATACTTGATGACAGCTCCATACATTTTTTTTAAATGTTATATGCATATTTTAAAGACTGTTTAGCCATCGTTCACAGTTACGTCATCATTATTTGTCAAATATGAATTTTAAGGTGTGTCTGAGATCAGTTCATATTGTTTAGAATATTTTAAGTACGTTTCTATATTACTGATTAACCTAGTTCCGTTTTTTTCGGCATTTATTCATTTTTTCTTGAACTTTTCATCAGTTTCCCTGATCCCTTTAATTCCAATCTTTTGGACTGTTGAAATTTCTATTTCAAAAGCATCAGCAACTAGCTATATTATCTAAAAACGCTATGAATTTGTATTTTACATAGGAATATTACACCTTTGCATTGTACTTACTTTATATAAGGCGTTCACGGGCCAAGAGTGTTCTACCAGCGTCTCTTTCTCGAGAAAAATAATTTATAAACTTAGCAATGAGTTCTTGTTTATTTTGGTTAAATATTTGAGGCATTTTCACAATAAAAAGTTTGAATTTTGTTTTACAGCAACATTCAAATTTTAATTTTGACATTGATCGATGTCCGTCAGTAAGATTACAACCCCAAATCAAATGACAATGACAATTACTAAAAAGAATATGCAGTAATTTACGAAATGCCGTAATGACGTCACCAGTCTCTTTCATCTGGTTAGCAAGTGATTGATAGAGTTTGAGCTTATGTCGTCAAAGAATTACAACATTAACGTGATTTTTAATTTCATTAATTTGTTAAAGACGAATCTGGATACTCCAAAACAATCCAAGCTCAGCAGCAATTCCAATATACAATTGCACCCCCCAGAAAAGCTCCCTATTGCTCGACGAACTATCGATTTTTTACTCCCTCTTTTGCCTCACCTAAAAAAAACCTTTGTAAATTTTAGAGTCGATACTGGCACTTTCCAAAATCAAACTGCTGAGGTAATTGAATTTTGTTACATATTCCAGTAGTTATTCTCCGATTTTTATACAATATGCATGTAGAATATGTTTAAAGAATATATAGAATATATTTTATGTAACCTAAAAATCAAAAGAGGGCCACAATAGAAGAAGGACCACAAAAAACTAATCTATTATTATAAGAGAATGTCTAACTGTTCCTACTAGGTATACAATGTACTATCAACATGATTTTCAGTCAATTTATTTGGTATAAACCAATCTAAATACTCCAAAACAATCCAGACTAAACAAGAAATCCAATTCTACCCCCAGAAAATCTCCCTATACTCGCTGCTTTGCCATAAATTCTACTGTTCCTGCTCTACGAACTATCGATTTTTTACTCCTCTCCCCTTCGTACTTCCTTAAGTCCCTTACCCTTGTTAGAACGACGGTCTGACCCTATTCCATCCTTTATTCTCCTTTGCGACGGTAATCCCCTCGAGAAGGGTGGGTTCTGAGGGTGAAAACGGTACCCCGAACAAGCCTTTGGAGTGGTAGGTATATATCGATTTTATTACGGCCCAGCGCGAATAGAAGCAGCGAAGTAATGTAAGAGCTTTCTCTGCGTTGGTTTCGAAAGATTTTCTGATGGATAGTCGGACCTGGGACCCTTTTACGTTAAGGGAAGGAAGATTTTAATCATTTGAGACTTTCTTTGAGAGTACATTCGTTTAACCATGCCGTTTATAGTTACTTATATGACAAAAGGGTCGTTACAACGTTCTTTTTACAGCTGTGCTGGAGTAAACATATACCTATATTTGATACCCCAATTAAACTTTTAGTTACTTAATCGAGGGCGCGATTTTTAAATTCTTTGTTGAAAACCATGGCAACATATTCGTCGCCGGGCTGACTAACTTGAATTTAAATTTCCCGCTAGGGATTCAGGTGGTAGCTGTGCTGTAAAAGATGTCAAGCTACCACATTTATTTATTTATTTTCTGACATTTGTCGTGATATTTTAAGCTTAAAATTTTTTTCTAGCAGACCTTGCAGTCGAACATTGTTCTTTTTAGAACCTCTTTTAGTGCGAAGTGTACAAGATAGCTTAATAGCCGTAAAAACTCATCGCAACTTTATTAGAATATTTTGAACGGGAAAGCTGTAGTAATGACCATTTAAATCCGTTAAGTGCTGTTAAGGAGGTGAGTTTTGTTGATGAAATAATAACTGTTTATATATTTATAATTAATTTATTTTTGTTTGGTAAAATATTTTAATTAAAAGAAACTATGTAAAAGCGGGCAACGCTGTACTGGTTAAACTTAATCACGGGACTAAAAGTTTATTTGATACGAACATTTTGGTATAGGTATATTACGCTCTAAGCTTTTTCATAAAATATGGGACTAAAATACAATTTAGTAGGTACCAAATGATACCATATAGTCATAGTTTGGTGATATAGGATATATTAACACATATATTCTAGTTCTAGGTACTAATATATCACTAAGTACTCATTTTCTTGATGGTATGGTGAAGTAACTACAAAACAAAAATCGAAAGGCACAGTAAAAGTGACTGTTCTGTTAGTTCGTCATTAATAATTTTGTGAAAAGAATATTAACAATTTAATGACCCAGAGGTTACTTATTTTTTGTTATCATTATTATTACTATAACATACTTCCACATTAGTCCAAAAATATATACAGGGTGAGTTTTCTACGATGTTCTCTATGATGGGTATCTCGGAAACTACTGGAGATAGAGAGTTGGTTAAATGGGGAAAGAATTGCAATTTTGTGGGGTCACAAATATGCGCCTTTCAGATTTTTGAAAAAGTTCATGGCTTACTAGATATTTCGAAAATAACAAATTTTGGCTATTTTTAAAATTGTCCCTAATTCCATTATAATTCATTTTAGACAAAATGTTTTCAGATAAAAGTTGTAGATAATCACACCCTTAATGAGATTGTGCCCTCATTTTTTTCTAAAGACTAATTTTCTATGACACAAATATAAGTTTTTTAAATGGAAACCATAGTTGGCTATGACCTCATAAAAAGCGCCATTTTTAAGCTTTTCAGCGATATAAGTTATAATACTTTTTTTCGAAAAATTACTGTGTTATAGCCAATTCCTATCATTTTTAAACAATTTCACTTAGTTAGCCACGGAAACAAGTTCAATTGTCGTTGCTCTCAGAAATGTGAAACTGTCACATTCAAACTTTGTAAATTAAAATAAACAAAAATTGGTAGGATTTTTGATTCAACTTTTTTTGGCCATACATTTTCGAGGATACGTTGACCGGTGAACGTTACTTCGTTACTTACGTTTTTTAGACAACGAACGGTTTCCAATATATGTCCAACATGACTGTCATTATGACACACTCCCCCATAATGAAAGAAATGTTAAAAATTATTTATACCATAATTATGCGGAAGAAGTACGGAATTATACGGGAGAAGTTTAAGTCGATCGGTTGTTCTAGTAATTCAGTTTTAAAAAGATGCATTTATGTACTCAAAACAATGGCGGATTTTTGAACATTGTTTAAAATAAATTCATATTTATACATTTTGTTTATTTTAACTTACACAGTTTGGATGTGACAGTTTCACATTTCTGAGAGCAACGACGATTGAACTTCTTTCTTTTATCTGAAAACTTTTTGTCTAAAATACATTATAATGGAATTAGGGACAATTTTTAAAATAGCCAAAATTTATTTTTTTCGAAATATCTAGTAAGCCATGAACTTTTCGAAAATCTGAAAGGCGCATATTTATGACCCCACAAAACTGCAATTCTTTCCCCATTTAACCTACTCTCTCTAGTTTATCTATCTCCAATAGTTTCCGAGATACCCATAGAGAACATCGTAGGAAACTCACCCTGTATATGGTAATTTTATTTATTCAGGGCAAGCATAATACGGTATTATTAATATAATATTTATATATTTATTTAAATGTTTAGATCACATATAACAGCCAATATTATCTTAAAGAACCTTATTTGTTTGAGATATGAAAACCTTCAATTTCTTCTTTTTATTTTCGAAAATATATATTATTATGGCATTCTGAGTTTAACGTGTTATTTTCTTGGTTTTTAATATTTTCCAGATTGGACCGAGTACTTGATCTTGCCTTGACTGTCAACCGACGAAGAACTTTGTGAAAATGCCGCATTTGGTCCAGCTGCTTCTCCAGAAACGTGTACGCCACTGCCCTCGGCCTCTCCAAATCTCGAGAACAGAACAGGTCTAAAAAAAGATAAAAAAAAGTTTGGATAAGTGTAGAAAACTTGAGGAATTCCTAAGAAAAAGTATACAGGGTGTTCCGAACTGTATTCCGGAAACTTCGGCAGAATATTCTGCAGATAAAAATAAGTAAAAAAGTTCATATTATTTTATATTATAGTATTCAGACACCAATTTTTATCCAAATATTGACCTTACTTCAGAAACTATTCTGAAAAAATCGAAAAAAAATGAAATTTCTACACCCTGTATCTCCGAAATGAATTATTTTAGAACATACGTTTTTACGAACTTTTTTACTTATTTTTTATAAGTAAAATATGTTGCCTAAGTTTCCGAAATACAGTTCGGACCACCCTGTAGATATAATAAGTTTAAATATTCCTAAGTATTAATAAACTATTTTTTTTTTGGTAGAAATATTGAAGGCAAATTTTAAAACAGAAAATCTGGGCCACCCTCTATATATTTTTCTTCGCAACCATCACATACACAAGTGCATATTACACATTATTCACAGTAAAAATCAAGGTCCCACAACAAATAAAAACTGTTATTTCAAATTGAATTACATTGCCAGCCATTGTTTGAGAGCAGAAATTTAAATAAAAAGTTAATAGATCAATAAATAATTTTTGATATGAAAAAAATGGAAGAATATAAATGTAAATAGATGAGATATTGCTTTTGTGGTTTCTATAACAATTTAATTTAATTATGAACTAGGTATATATAGTGTAAATGTATTGGGAATCTTGGGTTTTCCCAAAAAAAAACCGTCAAACAATAGACGTAATCTTTTGATAGGTGTATATTTAAGAACGTTTCTGAGATATATACTAAACAACTTAGTTTTAATGGTATATGTTCGAAGAAACACCTCATTTTTAGTACAGTGAAATTAAGGAATTTTAAAAAAATACCAGTAAAAACAGTATGATCATAAATTGAGACCCTATTACAAACAGTATGTTTGTAATTTCTTATACCAATTTAAATGTCGTTTTCAAGCATTTTCGTCACATTACACATCACAAAACTATTAAATTACCTGGAAATTAAGCTGAATTAAAGATATTCTCTTACCCATTGTATCCTGCATCGTGTCCAGATCCTAGTCCACCGTAACTCGATCCTGACGAAGGACCAGATGCACCGTTGCCAGCGTTAGTGCTGGAAGTAGATCCTGCAAAGGAATGAGCACCAGTTCCACCTAAAACCATAGTCAGAATACATTACTTTTATTTTCAGAAGATTTAGGGATTTTTTTTTGTAAAATCGGCAACAACGCATTTTTGGGATGCTACCGAAAATGTATATTTTTTTGGATGATTTTTTTATAGTTTAGTTAAATTGTTGAGTTTAGTTTGCAATGGTAATTGACTTTGACAAAACAAAACTGTCAGGATTAAAATAAACTATGAACAAATCATCACAACATTTTTATAATAAGTGTAATATTAAATTAAAATTGAATATCCAACACCATGTGCAAATAATATAATATACTCCTATAATAGCCCGAAAAAGAAATACTTAGTAGGATTTAGTAAAAGATTTTTTGCTTGCCTTTGTTTTTGAAAGGTTTTGCATCATTATGTGTTTTTTAATTAGTGTTAAGTAATCTATATCTTAGACCTATCCACCATATTAATATTTAGAGAGTAATAATTTAGAATTAGTAATAATTAAGAATTAGTAATAATTAATAATTAGTAATAATTATTAATAATTAGTAATAAATAAGTATTAATAATTGAGAATTAGTAATAATCAATAATTAGTAATAACTCTAATTATTATTAAAATTAGTAATAATTAGAATTAATAGAAATTGTAATTATTAATTGCAACGTACAATAAACAATTGCAATTTACAATTAATATTTTTTGTAACTTGCAGCTGGCAATTTGCAAAATAAAAAATTGAAAATAATCTAGCTTGTTCTACTATATTTTGGAATATATTGCTCTTTACAATATTTGATAGTTGCAATTAAAAATAGCAATGTGCAATTAGTTGTGAAAATTTAGCTTTTTTCTGCAATATATTAAAATATTTTTTTAGCTATGATTTTATTCAATCTTTGCATGAACATATATTCCATACGATTAAAAAAAGGCGTCAGAGATGGCTTGGAAATGGAGATCACTGTCAATTTGTCTGTAAAATTTTATGGGTAATGTCATCGATCGCGTCATTTCCAAGCCAACTGGACGCCGTTTTTTTCGATCATAGGGTAACTAGACATTAAATTATTTTTGCGAACATATTTTAAAGAATTTAAACTAACAATCTTTTATATTTAAACGACACAAAAAGAAATAACTTTTGTATTAGTGGATTAGTCCAATATAGTTATTTTAGCTGATCTTAAAAGAATAGAATTATGAAGAGTTACAGAGTTTTAAGCTTCCTAGGATGTTTTAGTTAGTGTTAAACCTATTTTTCAAAGGGATTTAGTTGCAGGGCAAGGAAAAAACCTTTTACTTACCACCCGCATTCGAGGCGATGTTGTTCAAAAGGTCCTGGACCTGTCCCTGGATTTGGGACAATCCCTGGGCTACGTTGGGAATGTAATCCACTACAAAAGAGACAGATGTGGGAGTAATATATAGGGAGAAATAATTTTTATACCCAAAAAATCACTATTTAGATACTCAGTATGGATAAAAATAGTAGTTAACTGTCTTATAATTAAAATAAAGCAATGCAAAAGAAGCTGGATACATTTAAACAGTAAAAAAACACATATTTAAGATAGAATTTCATTTAATTTAAGAGTAAAAATTGTATAATTTTGACTAATATTCCGGTAAAAACATTAGTGTTTATAATCATAACTTTATAATCTTTATCGATCCTTAAAATACGTTTTCCTTAATACATATCGATATTTTTAAAGATCGATATAACTGTGCATCCTTACCCTATCGATGTTTTATGAAATTCGAATTCATGGTACATCCCTACTATGTATCTTTTTTAAAATTTTGCTCAAATATGACAAAATATCAGTTTTTAGCATTAAAAATGTAAAACCTCTAAATGAGAAACAAGCTTAATACATTTAAAATTTACACGAATAAATTAGTTCTCACAATTATAACTTTATAATCTCAATCGATCTTAAGAATATCGATATTTTTAAAAATCGATATGAGTCTACATCCCTACTAAATATTTTTGAGACACAATAATTATATTAATTTTTCCTTAGAATTTTTCTTTCTAAAAAATCGATATTTAAAATAAATTCGATGTCATGGTACATTCCTACTACCTTTTTTGAGATTTCAAAGGTCAGATATGATAAAAAATCAGTTTTTTAGCTTTAAAGAAGTAAACCTTCCGAAGATAAGGTCATAGAAAAATTAATCATGAATCAGAACATACATAAACAAACAAACAATGTGCTCCTTAATTGGTTATATACAAATACAACTTAACCAGAATATAATTATTGGCTTACAAATAATAATTTTCAATATCATTGATTATTTCATCGATATGAATAAGGATGCTGCCTTCTAAAGCTATATATACAGAGTGGTCACCCTCCTAAACTCACAAGTTAAATGAAAAGTTTCTTCAGATATTATAGTTTTCTAGATATTTTCGCCAGGCTTAGGGATAGCCTATATAAAGAAATTATTGAACTTTTACACAGGTGTTTAAATACAGACGTATTGATTTGTCTTCTACTGAGTGTTAATTACTTCTAAACATTCAAATTTCACCTTGAGAGCTTTAGTATGAGTCAAAAGATGAAATTATATACATCTGAATATGGAAATTAATGTAGATTTGTTTTTATTAATAGTATTTTACTGGTAAAATCAGTGATATAATTGTTAGTGCTATTAGAGTTTAAAATAATGCAAATAATACGTTTAAAGGTGTTAAAGTCTTTGATATAAAATACTGAGCCATCCTGTAGTTTGTTTCATGTATGAAGTAATTTAGTTATTTTTTTAGTTAATCCTTTATAGGGCAGTAACATTCTAAACAACAAATGAAGAAAAAAAAAACGTAAATATATTCAAAGTGCCTCTTAAAATTGACAGCACAGAGGCAAAAACTTAATTTATAGTTATTAACGTAATAAGGCCGATAAACAACAAATAACGGCCGGGCTGAAGTTTGTGATCCGAGGCGATAGCCGAGGATCATAAGCAGCCAAGGCCGTTATTTGTTATCGGCCGTGTTGCGTTCTAGATTTTTCGTCATACTGCAGATTTTTTAGAGCAATAAACACTACTATTTAATAACAAATTTTATTGAACAATAACACAAGTAAGGATAAAAAATACATAATGTCTTATACTAAAATTCATTTTTCATGATAATGAACATGGAAATTAAAAGTGCACTTGTTGTTCTTAGAAATCTGTAATCCTTCCAGGGGATTTACAGATTTTATAGAAGAAGATGATGCTACTGAAGAATGGCAAATATTTGTATCCACTAAAGACACATTATTTTGGAGCTATCATGAAAAAAGTTGATTTGTTATTTTCATTCTTTTGGAAACTGATTTTTCTATGTAAGTTTCTGCCACTGTTGAAGACTCCCATCCTCCTAGCTCCTTTAGCGATAGTAAATCACCACCATTTTCGGCGAGCATGGTTGCTGATGATCTACGAAATGAATGCCCGTATAACGTTCTGGATTCTCCCAAGTTCAAAATTTTGCAATTTTCTGCGGTACGCTCCCGAGGGTATGTATACCGACGATTTGCTTAACACACTTGCCTTTCTTGTAACCAATGAAAAATTTTGGATTGTCAAAGTTACGAGGACGCAGGTTGATGTATTTTTGTATAAACCATAGGCATCAAACGGAAGGCCCGTTTTGGAATAAGAAATTTCCTATCTTTCTTATTTTAGTATTTCTTAATGAGACAAGAATATTTTTCTCCGAATCTTCGAAATCATCAACTGTGAGTGACCAAAGCTCGCTGCGCCTACAAGCTCCAAGAATACCAAGCACCAATACAATTTTTTCGAGTAACCAGGTGTAATCATCGGCATCCAGTAGAAAATTATTTATGTCATTCTCCGACAGAACTTTTGGCTTTTTTGGTGAATAACCTTCGTTTTGCGCCTCAGAAACATGAACAGTTTACCAAATCTATGAACAAATATAATTTAGATGAGTATGATTAAATATCGAAGAATATAATGGCTTTTACCTTGATATGTCGATGTTTTCATATACTCTCAACGCAAGCTTCAGCATGGATATCTTTGTCCACAGTGATGTAGGAGAATACATTTCAGACATTCTTTTAGCATAAGCCAGCAATACCGCTTCATTTACGCTGTTTATACTTCTATCCTGCCGCCACTTCAAAAAATTGTCATATTCCTGCTGATATCTCTCTCTGGTTATAGTCGGAAGTAAATTTTGAGTAGCCGCAGCCGCTTCCTCCTGTATTTCCAACGGAATTTCTCGCGACATCTCGCTATGGTCTATTTTCCCAATTTTTGAAAAGTCCAACTGACAATAAATAGTCATTGTTGCAGGTGACAGACGTTACGATTACCTTAGAAACTTAACGGCCGCCGGCCGTTATGATAACGTCCGGCGGACGTTATATGCATCTTTTCCATTCTGATTTTGCTTATGTTATAATAATATAACAATATAGTATGACGAAAAAACTGTAACAGCTAGCTTTACCAGGTCAAAATTAAAATGCCAGAAGTATTGTACTGCTTACAGTTATATCCAAGATGAACGTGATAAAATTTTTTAAAAAACCTATCGGTTTATAGGTAATTTATTTTTGTAAATTGCTTGATTTGCTCCTGCTAAAGTAGGTATTTGACCTCCTTCAATACAACGGTGAAAAATTCATTCTTTTTTTACCCAATTCAAATTCAGAAACAAATAAGAACTGTTTAAACAAAATTATCGCTAAAAGAATAAAAATAAATCAGTGGGTATTGGATGGAAAACATTGAATGCCCTCCACTAAAGAAGAGTTGATCAAGAAAGATCAATAGTAAGCAAAAAAATACAATAATTCTTGTTGCAAAAAGAATAAAATATAGCAAACACAGAAATATAATTTTTAGATATTGACGTTCTGCTTGGTATAAATAAAATATGATCTTTGAAAGACTAAAGTGTATAAAGTCGAACCATTTTAGATTGGGCATTTAAAATTTTCGAGATTTTTAGCATCCCTGGATTTAATAGAGACCATATCCATGACAAACTGAAGCAAAGTGAGTATCCAGTTAATAGTCTATTACGCTGTACTTTCTGGTCTCTCTCAGGGGTCGGGTAAAGCGGGTGTATGGCCGAAGGAAATATATATAATATTTCAGAAATCTGCCTAAGGCCTAGCCCGATCCTGTCGTGTTAATACCAAAATTCCAAACACACGTGCTTTGATTAAGGCTTGATTAAGGTTTGCAGAGCTTCAGCATTTGCCATAAAATAGCGAAATAGCATATAAATTATATATCGTTGTAATCACAAAACTTCAATCTATTTCCGTATTGTAACGGAATTTTAAATTAGGTCTTTATTTTCGAGGAAATTTAGTCCAAACATAAGGAATATTTTGTTGATGATTGACCATCAAAATCTTAAAAATAAAGAAGTTGTCTAAAAATGTGCTACAATACGGATATAGTAAAATCCTTTATCTTTAATTTCCTTCTTCATTTGTGTAAAAATACCTAGCTAGTTTGACATAAAACGTTAAATGCCGAACGCTTATTTTGCTATTTTTTTGGACTAGTGAAATTGATTCTTAAGCACCATAGTGGAAACCATATAACAATATCCTGGCAGAACAATATATTCATAAATCAAAATATTTTGATGTAATCTCTTGAGGGATCAAATAACCTCACTCACCTCCATAATAAGGAAGGTTTCCTCCACCACTGCCTCCTGTTGATCCACCTGCTGAACTTCCTGCAGAAGCGCTGGCGTGACTACTGGCTGATGAATAAGCTCCTGAAGATCCACCTCCTCTTCTTATTCTGAGTAAAGGTTCCATGATATCTCTTCTGTTCCTTACGTAGACCAAGTCGGATTTTTTACCGAAATGGTCGATTATGTAGAAGGATTTTGGAATATACTGACCAGGTTCTAGAAAAAAATGATATTTTGATATAAAAAAAGAATAATAAAGGTCTAGAATATATCTTCTGGGGTTAGAAACGACTATAAAACAATCCAAACAAACTTAAGGAATGAACTATGCACTCTTTTTTGGTTACTGGATTATTGAGTATTTATTTATTAAGTTTTTGCAATATAACCATTTTTACATTAACTTTCCTTTACAAACTTCGAGAAGGCTTTTGGCTTGATACTAAGACAATAAGAAAAGCCCTAACGGAACAAGGAATAGACATATGCCTTATATAGAAACTCTTGCCAATATATATAAAGAAAAGCCAAAGCAAGAGTAATGATATAACCAGGGTTGTTCACCACATACGACACGGAGTATTGTAGCTAAACGATCACATTTTTACAAATTGTAAGTTTGGGGTTCGTTGAAGGACTATTTTTACAAGATACAGAGTGTCCCAAATAAATAAAAAATATCAAAGTTGTATTTTTTTAAATGGAAAACCCTGTATATTATTGCATTTTTAGTTTCTACGATTAAAATAAAGGTAAATTTGATTAAGGTTTATTATACTTAAACCTTATTGTTTTTGAAATATTTTCAATTTTGTGAAACTGCAGTAAAAATTTTAAAGCTTCATTTCTCCAAGGGTATCAATGTTTTTAATACTAAATATTTAATGAAGTTTGTTTATTGATCAGTTATTGTGTTGCAATAATAAAAATAATACTACCTTATACAGAGTGTTACACCATAATTCGAAATGGTTGAACGATAAGCTGGAAATAACGATGATTACGATGATGACTTTAACTTTCTACACATTTAAATCTTCCTATAAATTATAAAATTGGAAGTTATTGATGCTTTTTAACTAAAAATATTCTATAACCGTGTCCTCGGATGAAAATTTGATATAGAAAAGAATTCTAGACTGTAAGTACGAAAAGAAAACCAATAATTCTATTTTTAGACGATTTTTTGACTAATGTAATATCACACCAACATGACGATGAGCTAATCTAAGAGCCTTAATTTGAATTAATTATTCAGTATTAATTATTAAAAGATAAAGATTCTCATCTATGTTTAATTTAAATTAAAAAAAAATAACCGGAGGTTTTTTTATTGAAAAAGATGACAAAAATGATTGAATCAATTTCCTGGAAGGTATATAACAGGCAAGAATAGATTATTATTAAATCAATATATATTATGTAAATTTAGAAATTGTGTACTTATTCTATAAAAATATTCTTATTAACAAAGTCTTTTATGGAGTTGTCAAAATATAGAAATTAATTTTCTGGTTTTGAGCTACTAATACCATACCAGGAGACTTCATAAAAGAATTACAGCCATTTTTGTGAAGCATCTGCTTTTTATTTATTATTTAATAAAAATTTGTATACAAAACCACAGAGGCTTTCACGTTTGTCACGTTTAACGACAATTAAACGTCTAATTGTAAAAAAACCTAAATATTAAATCCTATTAATAAATATTGTTTTATTTTAAAAAGTAAAAAATGGCTATAAATATTAATTTTATCTTACAGAATAGTAAATACTTAACAAAACACGAAATTAGATATGAATTGTTTATGATCTAAAATACAAGATGTGTCATTTGATGTATTTGAGAAAACATAACTTCAAATTTCGGGTCACCCTGTATATACCAAAAAATATATCGAATTTACTATGATGGATTACTTAGACCTGTTTAGAAGAGGATATAGTATTTCCATTTTAAAATCTTCAATAAAGGTTCAAATGTGTGGAAAAATAGTCACATTTAAAAAAATTACTCATGGGTGTAAATTATGGCATTATGGAATTTTTAGCATGGAAATTTTATGGCAAATCCACTGAGCCAAAAAATTGTACAGTCTTTTATCTAAAAAAGTAACCATAATGTAGCTATATTGAAATATAATTTTTAAATATATACTTGCAATTTGCAATGCTCGGAAGCACAAAATGAATTTTATATAAAAAAAAATATTAATAATATAGTTATTTTATTTGAGATGATGATGTGATCATTTTGTGCTTTAATCACAAAGGTATACACAATTACTTTTTACAAAAAAAATATACAGGGTGCGTCACAAGCATAGGAATCAACTCAATAATTATAGAAATGACAATTTAAGTACCATAATTCTTGAAACTTCAATCTGAATAAAAAACAAACTCTGTTCTGCAGAATAAAATATTCAACAAACCAGGCATCTTTTGAAATTTTCAACTTTTTATATATAATTAGCTTTAAAAAATTAACTGGGACTTTTACGTAAGTATATTTGTAATGGACTTTTTTGGTAAATTATCAACTGGACATAAAAATAAGTGAGAAAACCTTGTAGTAATTGTATAGCAAACAATATTTTGCTCTCATATTTTGCTATAAAATTGAAATTATATAAAATCATGGAATATTTTGGATAGGAAACCATATAACAATATCCTGCAGAACAATATATTCATAAATCAAAATATTTTGATAGATTTTTCAAAAAAAACTTACGATAAGCCAATGCAACTCCAACCAATGCAACCAGCACGAACAATTTTACTGAAATCATCGCAAAACCTGCAATTATTATTGTTAAAAACCGGTATTATTGTTATTATATTGTTGTTAAATATCCTGCGCGAATCACACTCACTCAACTCTTCAAAACAGACCGTCAGATTTACTGCGATTTCTGTTTTAAAAGAACTATAGCACCTGTTCCCCCCCTCTCCACTGGTCCCCCCGTTTAATGGTCCCCAAAAGGAGGAATTACCTGTTTCGAATTATGTTTATTTAACGTATTGTTCGATTATAGAGGGTGTCCAACATATTACCAAATCTTTTTTAACCATTATAATGCGAAAAGAAATAGAATATCAAGATTTTTACACTGATGCATACGACTTCTGAATTTTTAAAAAAACTATAATAATATGGCTTTTCCATGATAGAGAAATTTCAAAAACAATAAACATTTTCATAGGTGTGTTTTAATTCTAAAATTGCTGTAAATCTTTAATGTTTTCTTCAAAAACGAATAATCTCCAATAAAAATAAATAAGCTATTGAGATGAACCAAAAAACAAACTATTGGGAAAAGATACATCTTGATGATGAAGTGTTTTTTAAATTCGTCACTTTATTAAAACATTCTACAGGGTGCTTCAAACTTTCGGTAAAATATCAATATTTTGTTTTCCCTCGTATATATAATAGCCAGATGATGGGGAGCTTAATTTTTAATTTGAAAAAAGGCTGACAAAAGCCAAATAATTTACCTACAAATTGCTTAAAGAGTTATCAAAATCGGCCAAATAGAACAAAATAAATTGAACTTTCAAATAGATGAAAATTATGAAGGTGTCTGGCCGGATGTATTTAAAATTTTTACTCAATTTTTTTTTATAAAATATGTGGACAATAATATAGCGTACATTTTCAAAATATATGCGTGAATATACAGGGTAATCCTAAAAAGTTGTAGATTTTTAAATGCAATGCGTATATATTTTTTGGTATGAAAATTTGCCTGAAAAAAATACGGTAGTGTCAAAATCTATACCTACAGAGTATATAGGTTTTGAAATAATATGACCATTTTTAGATTAAATTTTCTATACATTTAAAGTTATATCAAAACTACAATTTGCGCTACGGCATTGTGCCCGCAGGAAACCAAAATACGGATTTTTTCGGAACACCCTGTAGATAGATAAACTTTTATAGTCTTAACAAAATATAAAAAAAACATATTTTTTGAACAATTTTAGTATAAAATTTAAAATTAAAGTGACTACAATAGGTAAGAATAGCTTTATTAACAATATATACAAAAAAGTAGATTTATATCCCTAACAGAAAATTATGAAAATGAAATTTTATAAAAAATATAAATTTTATTTGTTTTCCGGCAACCAGATATACACTATTTAAAATTTAAATTTAATGTACTTTCTTTTTACAAAATTTATCCTAACATTTAATTAGTTGCTAATTCTTATAATTATTATTAAATAGATTTATATAGTTTCGACACCCTGTAAATCAATATCGTTGAAATATTTATAAACTGTTGTGACCCCTGTGGACAAAATACAAAATGATCAATCATCTAAAATAAAATACACGGTTTATTTTTTTATTTAACATTCATATTGTTCTCACTTCTCAAAGATCATAATTCTTAGAAAGTTTTTATTGTTCTTAATACTAAAAACCCACTTTTAATTATACAAAGGGTTGTTAATACAATATATTTCATGTTTTCTTTCAGACCATTTTGGTGATTCTTTTTAACATGGATATACCTACCATTTTTTTTGACTCAAAAATAACAACGATTCAAAAAAACAATATATTTCTGAGAATTATGATAAAAAAATAAAAACAAAAACAATTTATTCTACCAAAGTTACTTAACTAGATTCAAAATGATAATATATCACAAATTTTTTTAACATTAAACTAAAATAAACTATTTTTCCTAGAGCTAGTTATCAAACATATTCCATAGTTCTTCATATTCTTCACTCAATTTCTCTATCATATCCCAATTATTTGTTAAAATCATCGACTCAAAATTCTTACAAAATGCCTGTGTTGTTGCATTGGCACTACCAAAGAACATTTTTGCACTCAGTTTGTCTTTTTCATCAATTAGGCAGTATTTGTGGTGCATCAACTGTTCTGAAGATTTGGGCATTTTTATTTCAACACCTAATAAATAAATAGTTAATTAGAAGACTATTGATTATTTATAAATACAAATTACAGTTACCATTCTTCTTAAGACCACCAAAAATGTCCTTCGAGACCGTACTTTTACTCATTGTTTTATCTGTTATAAGACGAACACGTACACCTCTTTGGCTTGCTGTTACAAGTATCGCTGCAATTTGATTTAATGTTAACGTATACATGCACATACTAATGCTACTTTTTGCGCTATTTAAGTAATGAATCAGTCTTTGCAAGTAGGTATAGGAGCAGTAATCCCCACAGTCTTGTTTCCCAATCAAGTGTGGCCTACACGAGAAATTCGTCGGCCCAAAGAATATACACTCGTAATAGCTCTCATCCTCTTGTTCTCTAAGTTTAGCTTTCAGTCTTTCGTACTTTTTCATGCACAGGTACCGTAAAAATAGAGGAATTGAGGTAAAAATTGTTAAAAATGTAACAAAAATTATTTTACTCATTTTAAAGTAGGGTTATGTAAATGACAACCATACCATAGATTAAACCAACATGTTTTGGTTTACCAGTTACCACAGATACAGAGCAATAGACAACAACTAAATTTCGAATAACCCTGGCAGCTGTGGCCTCGAAAATGGAAACAGCTAACTTCACAATAGAAGAAAGTATTGATAATCGAAATTTATTTATTTTCAAATTTTGAAAACATGCAGGAAAAGTCAAAAAACTTTTCTATATGAAATGTTTCAGCGAATTTTAATATGGGAAATTGTTGCTGTAAGGACAGAAAATCGCGCAGGTAAGTTCTTGTATTAATTTTATACATTGTGCAATAAAGTAGGTCATTTTGATATTAAAATTTCCAATGTTTGTATAAATTCTTATTTTAGAGATAAGATATCCCTTTTATTAGTGGGTTTGGACAACGCAGGTAAAACCGTCACTGCCAAAGGCCTAGCCGGCGAAGCTCCAATACATTCCCCTGTCCCTACAGTAGGATTTTCAGTGATAAATCTAAAATATCTTCATTACGATGTTCGAGTGTTTGATCTTGGTGGAGGTCCCGGAATTAGAGGCATTTGGCACAAATATTTCGTCGACGCACACGGTATCATCTATGTCGTCGATTCCTGTGATGCTGAGCGTTTTTCAGAGGTCAAAGACACCCTGGAAGAGCTACTTTGTCATCCCAAAGTCAGTGGAAAACCGTTGTTGATATTTGCCAACAAACAAGACAGAGAATGTGCCTTAGATGAGATCGATATCATTGAGTGTCTTCAAATAGAATCTTTAGCCAATAAATATAGGTGTCCTACTTTAGTACAAAGCTGCAGGTAGGTATATTTTATATGTTGAGGTGCAAAGCTTCATATTTAGCTTAATTTTTTTCTTCTGTATTTTAGCGCTAGCGTAACTAATATTAATAAGTTAGATGAAGGAATTAAGACGGGGTATGACTGGATCATGAGCTACATAGATAAAAATTTCAAAGAACTTAACATAAGAGTTAAAATGGATGTAATAGAACAAGAACTACAAGACAAGGAAGAGATAATCGCTAAAATTCAAAGAATTCGGGCAGAACGACAAGCTAACACGCTAGTTCAGGATCCTGATGTTATACAGACATATTCTGAATATGAAAAAATGAATTCCAAAATGAACGGAGGTGTGTGTAATGATGTTTTAGTCTTGGACGCTTGTTCAGACACCGACGAGGATGTTTCAAGCGAATTATCCGATTCTTCACTGACATTCCCTGCTATATATCACTTAGCAGATCAAGGTATAGAACGTGAACGTCCAAAGAGCGCCGTCCAGCTAGTGAAGCACCAGCTCCAAATGAACAGCGAACTCAGGCGTTCGCAGAGCGCTAAAACCAGGAGAAACAAGACTGCACCGATTAATATCTTTCAAGGAAGAGAATTTGTGCCTAGTTCAGCAAAAGAATCAGTGAACAGATCGGTAATTCTGGCTAAACCGCCTTCACGTAACCTTCACTCAGCCGATGGCAGGATCTTCTGTATAAGCAACAGAATGGGGCCCAGTGGAGATTATTATGACACATCCAGGGAGGTTTTTACCATTGAAGACAACTTTAAAGTACAAAAAATGACAGCGCAGGAAAATAAACGGGAGAATCTTGTGAGGCAGTTGAGTATTGTTGATATTGAGTAAGGTTTGTTGTTACAATTTATCCGTAAACGTTTCTTTTTTCGTGTTTTTAAAGGAAAGAATATTTTTGTATGACTGGAAAATGATCGAAAAAAACGGTGTCATGGTAGCCTTTGAAACGAAAATTTTTGTTGTAAAATTGTTTGTTACACCTCAAGCGTTTTATTCTAAATTAAAAGATAATTTCTGACTAATTTTTATTTCAGTTTTTAATAAAAAATCTTTTTCGAAGCCTACCATGTCGCCGATTTTTTTTTCGACCGCTCGGTATATTTAGAAATAAGGGTATTTTTGCTTCTAGTCCTTAATTTTAGTTTGTTATGTCATAACATTAATAAAAACTTGAGAGTTTATTTTCATGAACTTATGGAAATTATTTTTTTAATGTTATGGATGTGAAATTTTTTATATGTGACTATAAAAATAGATCTCAGCTTTGCGAAACCGATCTAGTCAAGGTATTTTTTGTATTTTTATATAAGGGAGCACCACATTTGTTGATTTTGAATGAAAAAAATATATAAAACAAAAAAAAACTATTTTTATTGCCCTTTCATTTTGTACATTCTTAATGATTGATGATCTCTCTTACAAAAACTGATAAAATACTACAATTAACCACTCTTTTTGAGTTTTACTTCTTGAAAATTTACATAATAAAGATACTGGCACTAGGTATATACTAAATATATTTAACATTGAAAAATATACATTTTTTAAATCACAAAAACGAAAATACTTATAATTTTTAGGAAACTTCCGCCTTATTTATCTACCCTGTTATCTACATATAAATAATAATACAGTTTAAAATATATATTCATATAAAAGTTTTTTTTGTATAAGTGTATATATCAATTGTTACTTATTACTTTATTTGCTAATTACATGAAAAATATTCGTCTAATCAAGAGGATGGCGATCAAAAATAGTATAATATAGATTGCTAAAGACCACAATATATCCCTGAAAAATTCATGAGAATCAATAATTTTATTGAATATATTTTTATATACACTCACTTATCCTTTGATGGTTGTATTTGATTGATCATATCATTCACTTCTACCTGTGGTTCATTTGAACCACTTTCAGCAATATCTCGTCGTCTCACACTCGTTTCTTCACTGTCAGGCTCATGAAACACTTTGGCCTAAGAAAAACTGTTAGTTTTAAATGTTGGTAAGTTAGAAAAGGTGTAGTACTAACCATTCTACCACACCTTGTTGGTTTATCATCTTCTTTCTCTTTGTTTTCTTCAGCTGATTCAATATTTTCTGTTTCTTTCCTGTTTGCATCTTCTTCAGCCTTTTTAGATCACATAAATAAGCTTGTGTTATAGTAAAATAACAATGACTAAAGAATACAAGGACAAAATGATACCAAAGAAAAAATTATTCAAACTTTCACAACAGGTACAAAACCAGAAAACCAAAAAATTCTTAAATATTTGTTTATCTACCTATAGACGTGATTCTTGGCTCTTTTTTCTTGCTGCAGCTTTAGTACTTGAAATTTGAACAAATCTCCATTGTAATAAAGTTTATACAAAGTTCACTACACACAACAAACTATTAAAAATCATCTCCTTTGTTTGGCACCAAAAAAATGGCATTTTTGTATCCTTTAGTCATTGCAAAATAATTGTATTATTTACCTTTAGCGCAATACTCTGCAACATGCTGCTTTCTTCCTGAGTTAGAGCCGGACTGCTTGCTGTATCACCTGTTATCAATTTATCTGCAATCTTTCCACACGTCGTGCATTCCCAGTTTTGTGATTTTTGTGCCAAGGTTTTTCGTTCCTCTGGTGTATAATCTAGTGAGCCAATTGTTCCTACACCTATTTCAAAATAAATATTGTTTGTAGAGTAAAAACATTCTAAAAACATACCTTTAGTGGGCATAAAAGCAATTAAAGCTAACAAAGCAGTCCGGATTGACCAGGAAGGTTGCCAAGTTTCTGGATGATATCCTGATATCGACAAGCATATTTTTTTGTTCACTTCAAACCTACCATTGGGCTAAATAAAAGTTCGTTTAATTCATTAAGTTGAGACTAAAAATGAAATCATACTATTCTTACAGTTAATAGGATTATGTTGGGTGGTTGCATTGGATACTGGGGTGGTAATAAGATCCTTCCATGATAAAATCCCCCTTCAAATTCGGTGTCGGGGGGTCCTCTTACCGTAAAATGCCACTCGAAAAGATTATCTTCGATAGGGCTGGCATAGTACTCTTCAGTCGGATTTTTCAACTCCAAAGCTTCTCTCATGAGCCTCTTCACGCCTATAAAAAATCGTTTAATGAATTATTTAAATAAATCCGATATATTTTCACGTTACCTGGACTCTTCAGGTTGTATTTCGATTCTAAAGACATACTAGGAATTTATTTAAACTCTTCGTACACGAGCTTAAGTTCTTTTTGCCAAATATTGTTTAAAATTGCATCTTTTTTTGACAATCAGCTGATAAAAGAAAAACACGTCAGGTTCAACGAGAGCGGTGTGAAGTTAGCGATTGATGTCAAGTGGAGCGAGCGGATGATCAAAACTTATTGCCATTTTTATAAATATAACCCTAGATTTCGGCCTTGAAAATAATTAGAATATTTAAATAAATTATTTAGTATGTACGTTGCATTTCGAGTTGTTTTGTTGCTAAATGTCTAGGCTAACATGTGACGGATCATGCAGCACCAAAAACAAGTTGTAAGTACGGGATTTGAAGATTATTTTATGTACAATAACAACAGTTTTTTCTCGATTTTAGAGTATTATAGTGCCAATATATAATGGGGCCCGCTGGATAAAACCCTGCTTTGAAAGTGTATTAAAGCAAACCGCTATAGGAGTCATAGATTTGGAGATATGTGTTTGTGATGATTGTAGTACGGACGATACTCCAAAGTTACTAAACGACTGGAAAAACACTTTTGAGAATTTTGGAGTGTCTTTCAAGGTTTTCAGGAACAACGATGAAACAAGAGGAGGTAAATCTGTAATTATTTTAATTTATTTTTGTTTAAAACAAGCAATTTATAGTGGGTTATTCGAAAAACAAAGCCGTCAGTATTAGTTCAGGAACATTTCTATGTTTCCAGGATATTGTGAGTAATATATTATGAAACAATTAAGTTTATAGGTAATATTTATTAAAGTGTTTGTGGTTTAAGGATGATGTCATGTTACCAGATAGGATAATGAAGCAATACGAACGAGCTCTCTTAGAACCATTTAATACGGTAAGAATATTGTTTACGTAGATAACGGTGTGATACAAATCAATAAATAGAGATTGATTATGTTACTAATATGTAATTTATTTTAAAATTAGATTGTAGGGTGTAAATTTAAAAGGGAACCATACAGTTCTACGGCTAGGTATACAAGATGGGCAAACTCTCTGACACAATTGCAGTTAAACTTGCAAGTTTTTACCTCACATGGGCCTACCGTTATCATGCCTACCTGGTTTTGCCACAGGATGGTATTTCAAAGGTAAAACATTCCTTAAAACTCAAAAAATAGTGATTTATTTTGAGTGAAATATTTTCAGAAATGGGGGATTTTTTGAGACGAGAAAAGGCTGTCCTGAAGACTTGGTATTTTTTAATAAACACCTAGATTTAGGTGGAAGAATATGCAGAGTCGACGAAGTACTTCTTATTTATACATTCCATCCCAATCAAACGACATTTTCAATTGACGAGTATAAGTTTCTAACTAATTTTAAGATAAAAATACATTTTTATATGGTTTTTTTAGGGAAACCATATGGAATTTAAGACTGGAACGATTGGAAAAGGTTATTTTGGCAAACTGGCCTAAATTTACAATATGGAATGCGGGCAAGCAAGGCAGGAAGTTTTACAATTCTCTGTCAAATGAGAACAGGGAAAAAGTTCTGGCTTTTTGTGACGTGGATTTAAACAAAATAGGCAAAAAATACACTGCGTTTGATGCAATTGAAAGAAAATTTAAACACGAGGTTGATATAATACATTTTAGGAATGCCATACCTCCTTTTGTGATATGTATAAAAATAGTAAGTAAATAATACACAACATACTTTAATTCATAAGAATATATTACAAAAAAATAATATTAACAAAACCAAATATATATGTAAATAACAAAATTCTACGCGAAAACATAAAGTACATTTTATTCTTTTCTATTACCTTATTTTTTTATTCCTAGGATTTGACAGAAGGGGTGTTTGAAAAAAACCTCAAAACACTCAACTTGAAAGAAGGAACAGACTACGTAATGTTCAGCTAAGCTTGAAAGCATTATATCTACACCAAGCAGTATTTTCCAGAATTTACATAATACATAATATAAAGTACAAATATAAGTGTAAATATTGTTTCTGTTTTTTATATTTTAGAAAATAAAGGTCATGGAAATACTAATCTGGGTTCGATCAATTGAGACCAAGAAAATTCTTTATGTTTACTGTTTTCCCTGTCTTCCTTTCCTTCCATTTCCAAAGACAATTTTCCTGAAGGTTGCACAAGTTCCTCATTGCCTCCTGTAATATATAAATTAATTAAGATAAACATAATAATTGGGCTACCCTGTATATTAAAATAAATTTATGACACAGAAGACCTTGACTATGTTAGATATACTATTTTTGTGATACCCTGTATAGTTTTTTTTACGTCTTTTTGATGTAAAATAAAGATAAAAAAATTAATAATTTCCTTCCTAAAAATATTCTGGCATAAGTTTTGATTTATACACAATATAAAAGTATATACAGGGTGTTTTAAAACAAATGCGAAAAACTTCAGGGGGTGATTCCTTGTTCAAAATAAAGGGTAGTTTGCTTTATAAACGTTGGGTCAAAAGTTAACCATTAGGGAGATATCGCGGTACAAAGATGGCGGAAAAATAATGTTTTTATTTTTTATCTTGAAAACGAAAAGCGATAGACTAATGAAATTTTATGGAAGCATTACTGTTATGAAAACATACTTTCTGGTAATTTCTCACTTTTTAAAATGAGTGGAAGGTGTTGAAATAAACTACCCTATCATTCTTGTTAACGAAATTAATAAAAGCTTATCAAACACATGCAAAAAATTAATTTGGATAGTTTAGTTTGTTTAGAAACCTTTTTATCTCTTGTGTTTTTTGATAAAACTCACCGATTTGAAATTAAAAAATAAAATGTAAAGCATTACATATCAGGACAAAAAACATTTTTAGATAAAGAATCTAGTGGGCTGCTCTAATTTTTTTAGGAAAAAATCTAGTCGGCCGCTGTCACTTTTTAGGATGTTTCTAATATTATTTTATTGACATTACTCTACTGCAATACGTTATCTAGATTCTTATTATTATCGTTATTATCACTAGATTCTTTATCTAAAAATGTTTTTGATCCTGACATGTAATGCTTTACATGTTATTTTTTAATTTCAAATCGGCGAGTTTTATCAAAGAAACACAAGAGATAAAAAAGTTTCTAAATAAACTAAGCTATCCAAATCAATTTTTTTGCATGTATTTGATAAGATTTTTCTTTAAATTTCGTTAACAAGAATGATAAGGGTAGTTTATTTCAACCCCTTCCACTCATTTTAAAAAAGTGAAAAAATTACCAGAAAGTGTGTTTTCGTAACAGTAATGCTCCCATAAAATTTCATTAGACTATCTCTTCGTTTTCAAGATAAAAAATAAAAACATTATTTTTCCGCCATCTTTGTACCGCGATATCTCCCTAATGGTTGACTTTTGACCCAACGTTTATGAAACAAACTACCCTTTATTTTGAACAAGGAATCGCCCCCTGAAGTTTTTCGCATTTGTTTTGAAACACCCTGTATATCAATAAAAGACTGTGTAACCTCACATGAGATTTTTTTAATCATCCTGTATAATGAAATAAATTTAATAAACTCGAATAATACTCACTCAGTATTTTAAAATAAACTGTAGCCCTATCTGCAATGTACATCTCCACTCTCCCCATTATATAACTTGATAATTGTGGAGTATAATCCTCAGTCATTTTCAAAATCCTGAAAGCTACAATATCTCCAATTTTGGGCAACAAATTGGGCCCCATCATGGGAGACGCCACAATATTGGTCTCACTGAAGATATTTTTGTTTTCTAAAATTATTGATCCTTCGCCTTCATCACTGACAACTATTGTAGTATTGATAACATTGTTTTCTATTTGTTTAGATTTGTGTTTGTCTTCCACGTTAGTTTCTTTTTTAAAAGCATTTTTATTTAAATCTTCTGTGTTCTCTTCAAATCTCAGATGAACACTCGGACAAGCTTGAACTTTCAACGATTTAGGTTCATAAAATTCAACTTTTGGTAGTTCTACATTATCTGGCTTTTTAGCAGGTCTTTTCCTCTTCCGAATTCTCTTTCTTCGTGTCACATACTGACCTGAAGTGTCACTCTCTCCAGAAAAAACTGTATCGGACTCTTTTAGACTCTCTAAAAGCAGACCCACACCTGAATACCCTTTATAGTTTTTAACAGGTTTAGAATAAGTTTTTTTTAATGATCCATTTATAGAATTAAAGGATGAGCTCAATATAGAATTATCTGTGTCTATATCTTGATTTAAATTACTAGAAGCCTTATTTGGAGTATTATTTTCAACAGAATTTATGGATATAGGGGTTTCAAATGGAACATTATTTCCTTGTTCAGTTTTATCAGGTACTATACCATTTAGATCATTTTTAGTCTGATCTGGTGGACTGTTCCTTTCAGATTTTTTTACTTCTGTATTGACTGTTGTCGCACTTTCTTCAGGACTGATAGTTTTCTCAAAGGAGTTGATAATTTCCCTGACAGTATTTTTTGGCGGTGTGAATTCATCACTCCCTGTATTATCCTGAGGTGGGGAACAATTATTGCTTGCTTCAGGAGGAGATTTATTGTTAATGACATCGATTCTAACAATGTTTACCTTAGTTTTTGCCAGATATTCATCTGTACTTGGAATAGGGGGTATGTATTTAGTGAAAGTCTTTATTGGTGTGTCTACGTGCCTTGACAGTCGAACTGTGTCAGGTATATTTGATCGATTTGCTGGTAGATTTACGTGATTATTAGATTTCTCAGTATTTTTCGACCATTTTCTAAGGAGATCTTCAGTTTTCTCTTTCAATTTGTTCTTTACTTCTCTCACAGTTTGAGCGCTTTCAATAATACAAATTTCCTCTTCTACATATTTCTCTTTTCTTTTATCTTTCTTTTTCTTAGGTTCCTCAAAAGCCTCATCTTCTTGCACGTATTTTTTATGCTTTTTTTCTTTATTTTTATTCTCTATCTCAGAATTACTAGTTGTCTCTTCAACATGCTTCTTTTTCTTTTTACTTTTCTTTCTTTTTGGTGGAACAATCTCGTCCTCTTCTGTAATTACTTCTAACGGTCTTTTACGTTTTTCATTCGAATTTTTTGCGGATTTTAAAGAATGATAGGTTTGTGTTAGGTCGTGGTTTTCTAGTTGTTTTACTGGAACTGCACTAAAATAAGTAATTCAAATTAGGAATAATAGGATGGAGAATATTAAAGGCTACTTACCATACTGTTTCGTTTTTTTGTAGGACACCGATATCTTCTGTATCGGGTAAAAAATGACCTCCAGCAGTTAGGAAGAAATCCTTTATAGAAAAAATATCACAAATTCGGGTTTCTAAATCCTTTACTGATTTTATAGAACTATTTACAAAGATGCGAGCTATTCGTCTGTGATCAAAGAAAAAAGCACTTAAGTCTACAATAACGGGAAAATACGGATTTGTACTCATTCTTAACTAATAATTACCGGCAATTAAAATAATAATTTACCACAAAAAATTATAACCTCACATTAAAATGTCATTTTCACTGTAGTGAAGTTAGAAGCGTAATCACTATAATCAAAATTAATTTCTAATCGATCTAAAGCTGCGTATATACAAGCGAGAGAACTTTGACTAAAATATTAATATATTTCAGTAAATATCTCCTTTTTAAATTTACTGGTGTATAAATTGGATAGGCTTTAGCTTTTTTCAACATTTAAAAAATAATCTTCCTTAAAAAAGGTCTTTTAAAAGCCAAAAGTTTATGTAGATCTATGTGTATACCCAACTTTAAGTATGACAGATCACATTTGTTCAAGGACACGACAAAACGTCATTTAAACGTCATTTTCATTAAATAAACATATCCTGGACAATTTGTCTTGGTGAAAACCAATTATTTAATATTTCCAGGTAAGTTGATATTGTTTTAATACATAATTATGAAAAATTACATAAGCTAAGCATCACATACTTATCTGACAGTAATTATATTATGGGTAATAACCCTCTAAACAACTGGCTCAAACTTTCACTTGTAAAAAATGTTCCTTTAACAGGAATGTCCTGGATATATAAGAAATGATAGGTTTCTCCAAGCTAATAAATCAATAAAGTGAAACACTCCCAGTTAGATGCATTAAAATCAATTAAAAAGTCCATTTTTAAGTTATTGGTAAACTGGTATGTTTTGTCAGAGTTTGAGTTTTCTTAGATATTGCCAAATTTAAAATACTAATTATATAAACAAAGAGACTTTAAACCAAACAATTATAACAATTGTGTTAATAAATTATGAGTTTTTGTTTCATAGGTAATTGGTTAAAATTTCTTCAATATGTGATTTAGGTATTTTTTTTTGTTTTTAAATAAACATATTTATTTTTAGTAGTGTTTTTGTTGTGATACCTAGAATTGAAAATACCAATGCCAAGAATAGAACTATTAAACTAACTAATGATACTATTGATCAACAGAAAAACAGGAAAATCAAGACATTTCATCATGAACAAGTAATGCAGTCTGTAAAAATGTCTGTCCTGTAAGGAACAAAACCAACAAATTCAACATTAACATCATCAGGATAATAAAATAAAAAATAAAACCATTGAAAGACTGTGTACCTATTAAAAAAATTATTAAATAAAAAATGGATCGACAATTGTCAAGAAGAATGTCTGGTGCAAATCCTTTTGCTGCATTGTTCCACACTGCTAGTCAGGATCACTTGGAACCACCAGAACCATCTTTAAATGATCAGTTGGAGGAAATATTTAGTTTCACTTTGAATGAAAGAGCTACACTTACCAAAGAGGTGTGTACTATAAATAATATTTTTCATCCAAAATTAATTTGAATGTGGTAGACAATGCCTTTATTGTAAGCAAAAATAAATAGAGACAATAGCAATCTGAAATTCTTTTAGTTTCATCAAAAATTAACATACCTACAGCAAACTTCAGATTTCATATCTACTATTTTTTTTTCAATATGCTTCAATTTTGATGAGGATTGTTCAAAAACTGTTAAACAAAAATCATTAAATTTGTATTTTAGATTCTATTCTTAGAGGATGTGTTCAAAGACCTCGACACAACAGTCCTGGACATGGACAATCTTGACCAAGCTCTTTTTGAACGTCTTTTTATGTGTCAAAAAGACAACCTAACAATAATCCAACAACGTAGATTGAGTTTCCGCAACCCACACGCCATAGAAATTGAACCCATCAAGTACCTCTACAAGGCTTATGTAAAGGTTCACGAGAACCAGTTCCTGAAGGCTGAAGATCGGCTAGAAGTTCGCGATAAAATCATTCAAAACGTCGCCACGTCGATCATCCAGCCGGATATCTACGTCGATCAGGATATGGAGCAGCAGATGATCGACGTGCTGAAGGAGGGAGGGGCACATTATGACACTTTTTTCGTCGAGGCTGCCAGGAGGACTCTGGACGAGGAAAATAACGGTAATTTTGTGCGCGATTGGCTGTAGTTTGTCCGGAGAGAGAGGATTAGGGATGTGCGAAAATATCGATATTTTGTCTAAATATCGATATCGATATTTATGTCTAAATATCGATACATATGTACATAAAATTCTAGTAGGGGTCTTTCACATTAGGGATGTGTCAAAATATCGATATTTTTAGATATATCGATATATAGTATAAATATCGATATCGATTCTTTGACTAAATATCGATATTTTATACATATCGATACTTTGTCTACCGATATCGATGTTTTGTCTAAATATCGATATCGATATTTGTGTCTCAATATCAACTACATATGTACCTAAAAATACTAGTAGGGGTCTTTCATATTAGGGATGTATGCGAGAATATTGATATTTTAAACATATCGATATTTTGTGTAAATATCGGTATTGATATTTATGTCTATACATATATCGATACATATGTACATAAAATTTTTAGTAGGGCTCTTTCATATTAGAGATGTGCGAGAATACCGATTTTTAGACATCGGTATTTTGTCTATCGAGATCGATATTTATGTCTATCGCGCGCTTGATGACGTAACTAAAAGTTTATTTGGATCGATTATATGTCATGTACGGGGTGTTTAAACAACTGGTCAGCTAAATAAAGATTTTTTTCTTGAAAAAAACAGAGCCCTTTTTGGATTTTCCGCGCATTTTTGCTTTTATTTACACCCTGTACATTGCCGACGTATTTATTTTATACAGGGTGTCCCGCTACTTAGAAAAAATGTTTTTTTTACAAGTGTTTCTATTGATTTGAGATTTTCCTTTCGATATTCTTTATAAAACACACAAGACAATAATAGTACACATTTTAAAATTATTTTGTTATACAGGTTGTTTCTTAAAGTGTGTCTCTCAATTTTTTTTTAAATAAATATTTTTTTTAATTTTCAAACTCAACAAAATAACTCGGTTATTTTGGACTTATTTGACAAACAGTAAAGAGAAAATATGTTTCTTTTATCGAGATCTACTTATTTAAGACTCGCCCTGTATATCTAGATATACATATACAGGGTGAGTCAAAACTAAAGAGTGTTTTTTTTATTTTCTACTTTCAGATGACATAATCTTAACCTCATTCATCGACCAAATGAACCGCAAAATGACCGAGGAACTCAACAAGTGCTCCCTGGTCAACCTAGACTACAACGTTTTCAATTATTTCAACGTTTTCACCTCGAACGACTACCTAGCCGAGATCTTCATGGATTGTTGCGTTCCGAACAAGCTGCACGTAGGTTCTGAGTACGCCAACACCGCCATCGGTGCTCTGTTCAATTTGTCGGTACTGCCGAAGAGCCCGAACGGTTCTTACGACTTTTTTACCAATCCCATGGACCAGGTCAGTTATGTAAGCATATTTATGTTGCTGGATGTTGTGTAAAGTATTTCCAGTAGTACTGTGGTTCTAAAGGGATTCATTTTGTAGCCGGGGAACTCCAGAACTGAGACGTTTTTGTGGTCCAGTTTGGATAAGCTTAATGAGCATATTCACAATTTTTTGTTGGTACTTCTGAAGTGTAACAACGCTGTTAGGAATAAGGTACTGAATTGGCTGGGTGGGTGTTTGAAGTACAACGTTGACAGAGGCAAATTGTGGAACTCACAGGTAGGGTTAACCCTTTTTTATAGCCTATACAGGGTGTTCCTTAATGACATGCTAATATTTAAGTTTTTTTTATTAACTTCATTTATGTCCTCGTATCTCCTAAACATCTTAATTTCTGAGATACAGGGTGGTCATTTTTTCTATAAAAAATAACTTAATTTTTCGGGTTCGAACACACTGACGACCAGGTCGCACCGGCCAGGCCGTTGCTACCATTAAATCAAATGATACAGCGTTGATAAATCCGTTGGTCGTTGCGACCAGTAGACTGCACTAAAATATTATTTTCTGCCGCTTGTTGCCGGTTTTCTTCCAAATTAATAATTTTTCAGACGAAATCCCTCAAATTCAACGCACAATATTTTATTTTCTATAAGATATAGTGTTTTAGTGTAGTGTTTGCACACGTGCAGAAAATCCAAAGGAATAGTATACAGACTGGATCAAAGGGAAACTTAAATCTAGTCCCTTTTTTATCAAGGGTCGATTCTATTAAAAATTCAAAACATTTTTATATGACGTACTCTATTTATGGTTGGTATGATACCTGCTATTATACCTTCGAGTTTCGATGTTAAAAAAAATCATATTTAAAGTTTTTCTACAACCACTTGTTTTTTTTATTAAATTAGTTTTTTTAATTGTATTGTAGTCATGTACAAGGAGGACAACTGTATTTTAAATATTATATTTAATTTAACGTTTTTTAAACAGGGTCTATTAGACTATATTTCTACTAGGTACATTATTTTAAAAAAAATTAAGAGTAAAAGTAACTTAAACACTCATAAAAATAGAAGTATTTACTATTGTAGATTCTCAGTAACAATAAAAAAGAGGAATTTATATTGTAAACATTGAAATAACTGGAAGCTAAACTTTCTACCTGTTTATATTTAGAGCCAATGTCTGACGACCTTTTTTTACGATGGCCTTAATATGTTTACTTTTAAAGTCGATGAGAGCCATCAGTAGAAGTCCATATCAGTAGAAAAAAGAAACAGGATATCTCCCTTTTTGTCGGTCGCGCGTACACAATGCTTTTTGTTGGGCCTATTTGTTCTGCTTTTTCGTGCGCGCTCGGTTCGTTCGGGCTAAAGATCCTCAAGTCTGGACGCACCTTTAAAAACAATACTGTTTTTTTCCTTTATTGATATAATGCTGAAAATCTGACGAGTTACATGTCTCACTCTACACATATTAAATTACAGAGACGTAGGATGTAGAATATTCTATTATGAAACGACTGATGGAATAGCCGGCATCGCGGATTTGAAAAACATGGAAATAACGACGTAATCGTGTAGTCGGGGTTGGAGATTTTACTTACTCCGTACCACACAAGTTAAGTATTTATGAACGAAAAATCCAAGAATATTTTAAATGCATTATTTAATATTAGAACAATTAATAAGCTCATGAATAGCAACTTCGCTTTTTAGTTAACTCAGATATTTTAACATTTCTGAAACTTAATTCTTTCTGAAACTATATTTTCTAATTGGCAAAACGTAAAAAATCGTTCGATCTGACAACTCTGTTGAAACTGGTCGTTCATCTGGCCGCAGCTATAAACGCAATGCATCCGGCCAGCCGACGCGACCACCAGGTCGTTGCGACCATCACAGATATTTTGAAAAAAAAATTAGAGAATTTTACCTCCTGTATCTAAAAAGTTAAGATGTTTAGGACATATAATATATTCATATGAAGTTTTTTTTCTTAGAATCACCTCCTTAAATATTAGCATGTCATTAAGGAACACCCTGTATTCCTGTAATTTCGCAAATTATTATTGTATTTCTGTACAGGCACCCCCTGAGTTGAATCCTGCCAACTACACAACAGTTTCTGACGGATTTATGATAAATTTTTGCAGTATTCTTCTAAGATTGTGCAGGCCGTTCTGCTCAAACTTTAAGGAAAAGAAAATTCTTAAAGTCGATCCTACATATCCAGCAGTACCAGTAAGTTTCTACTGGTTTTTATTGATTTTTATACTCAACAAAATAAATTAAATTAATTCTAGAATAACAAGGCAGACTCCAAAGGAGTTCACATGTACGATTTATCCTCGGAGACCTGTTTTATACCGGTGGAAAGTTCAGAAGACTTGGAAGAACTTCGGGAGACTGCCGAGAAATATAACTTTATCACAGAGAGCTTTTTCATGGCTCACAAGGCTTTGGATTTGGGATATAGGGTGGCCGTGGATCGTATGATGAAAATGAGCCACGTAAGACACGTAGACAGTGTTGTCATTTTTAGTACTTTATTCCTCAATCTAGGGATTTTTTTTCAAATTTTTTTCTAGTCTGTTTTAGGGATCAAAAAATCTTTAACATTAAAATAAACCCTTGATTTTCTTTAATATTAATACCGCATGATGAGAATGAGCCACGTAAGATATACAGACAGTGTTGCAATTTTTAGCGATTTATACGTAAATCTAGGGATTTTTTAAAAATTTCTTCTAGTGAGTTTTTGGGATAAATGGCAAAAAATCTTAACATTAATCTGAACATTTTATTGTTGATTTTCTTTAATATTAATACCGCAGGATGAAAATGAGCCATGTAAGGTATGCAGACAGTGTTGACATTTCTAGCGGTTTATTCATAAAACTAGGGATTTAAAAAACCTAGGAATTTAAAAAAATCTATGGATTTTTTTAGGGATAAATGATGAAAAAGTCTTAACTGTAAAATAAATCAAGATACGCAGGCAGTGTTGCCATTGCTAGCGGTTCATCCACAAATTTAGTTTTTTTTTTAATTTTTCTATTGAACTTTAGGGATAAATGGCTCAAAATATTAACAGTGAAATAAACTAAATATGTGTTTGTTTTTGTTGATTTTCTATAATATTCAGACCGCGTGTTGAATTGAAACATATAAAATATGCAGACAGTGTTGTCATTTCTAGCGGTTTATCCCTAAATATAGGAATTTTTTCAGTTTCTTCTAGAAAAAATGTTTTAACAAAAAAAATGTTTTTTTACTCATTTTCTTTAATATTACTACTGCTCGATGAAAATGAGCCATGTGAGATATACAGACAGTGTTGCAATTTTTAGCGATTTATCCGCAAATCTAGGGAGTTTTTTGAATTTCTTTTAGTGGGATAAATGGCAAAAAATCTTAATATCAAACTAAACATTTTTTTGCTGATTTTTTTAAATATTAATAACGTAGAATGAAAATGAGCCATGTAAGATATGGAGACAGTGTTGTCATTTTTATTTCTAGCGGTTTATCCCGAAATAGAGATTTTTAAGTTTCTGTAGTGAGATTTAGGGAAAGGTAAAATAAACAAAATATGTTTTTTTTATTTTCTTTAATATTAATACCGCATAATAAAAATGAGCCATGTAAGATACTCCAACAGAGTTGTCATTTCTAGCGGTTTATCTCCAAAACTAGAAATTGAAAAAAATCCTAGTGAGTTTTTAGGGATAAAAGTAAAAAAACCTAACAGTAAATGATGAAAATAGGCCATCTAAGATATGCAGACAGTGTTGCCATTTCTAGCGGTTTATCTCTAAATTTAGAGATTTGTTTTAAATTCCTTCTAACGGATTTTAGATGTTTTTTTTTGTTGATTTTTTTAATCATAATTAGGAAATGGGTCGTCTGGAGAGGGCGTACAGAGATGCTGTGCAGCAATCAGGTCATGGATCTGATGTGGCAACATCTATGCATGACAGACTCATCTCTCAGTTAACAAAGTGAGTGTATAAAACCAGAAATCTTATAAAAACGTTAAAAATATATTATTTTAGGTTTTTCTCGCTCAAGTGCGTGCTTTCTGAGCCTAAACTTCTGAAAGACTTGTTCGATTTCGCGTCATCGACCTCCTACTGGGCGGTGCAAGTGGCCATCAAGACCAACTTCAATTCTGCAGATAAATCCAGCTTCGCACCTTTAGAAGAAGTTCCTGTTACTTTCCCACTACCTGATAAAATTCCAAACACTCTCAAGTAAGTTCAAAATAAGTCCAAAACATCGTCCTAATCGCAAAACATTTTCCGATGCACATCATCAATCATATCGAAATTGACACTAAACCCTATAAACCTGACTAAATGAAATTTTGGCAAAAATGTTTAAATTTTTGTATAATTTACGATACCAAGCAGCTCTTTATTTTACTTTATAGAGCAAATGATTGTAACAGTTATTTTATTTAGATTAAAGCTGCAAAAATTAGTTTAAACCGAATTTTATTATTGCCATGTTGGTCACATTGCGCCATGTTCAGCAACGTTGTCGTTTATTACTTGACAATTATCATAATGCCAGTCATTATTTTGTACAATATCGTGTTGTTTTTGAATCTTTGTGAGTAATTCTCGTTTTTGCATAGTTTTTTCATAGTCTTTTTTTTAAATTGTATTTTTAAGCACAAACAGTTCTTTTAAGAACTAAATTTTCGGGTTTTTGTATTGCATTTCTCGAAATTGCGTGTTGAAAATATGCCGAAGCATTTAAACAGTTGAAGCAAAGAACTTGTAACTTCTCTATTAAACTATTTTGAACGAGAACGTGACAGTAAAGGTGCTTTATTACTCTTGATTGCAGTCAGAGAAGTAAGTTTGATTGGTAAGCACATTATACCACTTTCAAAGTTATTTCTACGTTAGTTTTTAGTAAATTCTGTGATTATTAGTTTGTGCATTAATGTCACCCCGCGGGGTGTCTCACTACTGGAATTACATGTACATTTTCTTGGCAGTCGCTGGCAGTCACTGGCAGTCTTACGGCAGTCACTTATAATAATTACATGGCAGTCATAGGCAGTCTTCTTGGCTGTAATTGGCAGTCGCTTGGTAGAAAGATGATATTTTGGCAGTACATGTACATTTTTTACCCAAGTGAGACACCCCTCGTGTCACCCTCTTATTTGTTGTGGTGTTGTAAGTTGTACATCATTAAATAAATAAATAACTCTTAGAATAATCTTCATAATGGACTAGTTTTTGCCAATGTGTAAGAACTAAAATAAGCTATAAAACAAACAAATTAATTACTAAAATATTAATTATTAAATCAAAAACAAAACGTAAAAATCTTTAAAAAATGGTATAATAAATAATTATATTATTTTCGAATTTTACATTAAGATTCATCCCATAAATCTATCACAATCTGGCAGCGCTGTCGGTATCGCTTGTCGCTCAAAGTTGATCACGTGCATCAGAAATTGTTTTGCTATTACAGTATGTATAAAATATAAATAACATTTTCAGGTGCGTTCCTGAATTTTTGACTGAAAATATAGTCTCCTATCTTGTTTTCTTGAAACGTTTCAATCCCCGAACCTTTGAGGAGGTGGGTTACGAAAAAATGGAACCTTTGCTCACTTTTGTCTTGGTTTTTATGGGATCCAGACAACACCTGAAGAATCCCCATATCAGAGCTAGGCTAGCTGAAGGATTGGAGTCTTTGTTGCCATATGATAAAGAGGAACCAATACATGACCTGGGAGGCTACCAGAGGGAGTTAATTTTCATTCAGCATCCTCACAAATTGGAGGTATATTTTTTTATAACCCTGTATTCGTTTTTGGTCGTAGAAATGTTTATGAAAAAAATATCTTGATAATCGATACTTTTTGTTTAAAAAATATGTCGATATTTTCGGACGTCCCTATACATTCTTACAAATGGATTTCTTTCAGATTGTCAAAAATCTAATGAGCGTATTCGTTGGGATTGAAATGACTGGCCAGAGTGTGGAATTTGAACAAAAATTCAAGTACAGAAGACCGATGTACACGATTTTTGAGTATTTGTGGGAAATCTCAGAACACAGCGAATGTTTCAAGTGAGTAGTAGGAAGAATCAGCGTTGTCATTCAAAAAGTTATCCTCTAAGTTTTTTTTAATATTCCGTAAATTATAACTGAAATAGTTGACCTAGTAATTGTTTTATAGTTTTATATATTTTATTTATAATATAATACCCTTTATCTTAAATTTGCACAACAAAATCTTCGTATAAAATTGTTTTTTTTTATTTTTTCCCTAAATTTAGGGAAAAATATCCAAGTTGGCAACACTGGCAGTCTTTCTTTACTTCTTGTCTTTGTTTTATTCACAGTAATTTATTAATTAAATAAACAGTATATTGTTTTTTTTTTGAAAATGGTTTTTAGTTTTTCTCTGAATTTAGGGAAAAATATCCAAGTTGGCACCACCGAGAATAATATAAGGAAGTTTGGTATGTTAAGATTTCGTTTTTTTTTCTATATAGGATTCTAGCTGAGGAAGCTGAAGCCAACATGGAAGCTGTTAATCCTCCGTTGTTCCTCAGGTTTGCCAACCTTTTAATTAATGATGCCATATTTCTTCTAGATGAAGCGTTGGCAAATATGGCAAAGTTGAAAGAGATGCAGACAGCACAGTAAGTTGGCATGTTTATTTTTGTTACTGAATGACACAGATTGATAATTTCAATTCTAAATATCTTGAGAACGGTTGCAACCTTTTCCAAGAAAACTTTTTTTTTCATCCAAATGTCGACGTTGGTTTAGAAATTATTTGGACAAAATCGAAATAAAAAAGTTCCAAAGTGATTGCGAATTGACTGATACACGAAATTATTTTCTGTAAAATATTTTAAAGTACAAAAAAAAGAATTTAACGTTTTTTTTAGCGAAAATGGCGAATGGGAGTCATTGAGCCCACCAGAAAGGGCTCAAAACATGAGCTACATGCATCACATCGGCAATTTGGCCCGTTTCGACAATATTTTGGGTAAGGACACCACCACGACCTTGGAGAAACTCACATCGAAAATAACCATCGTGTTCACGCATCAGACGATGGTGGACAGGATCGCCGCCATGTTGAATTACTTCTTGCTGAATCTGGTCGGTCCAAACAAGAAGAATTTTAAGGTAGAAATAAAATCACTTAAAATTTGTGGCTTTTTTACGGTTATAGTCTGTCCAACGAAAGGATACATAACAGTGACACTTTTGTTCCAACCACATGACAGTTACATTCACAAGTGTACGGCATTTTCTGTATTTTTTAGTTTTTCATACCTCAAAAGGAAAATACTGTCTATCGAAATACGTCTGTCGAAATCTTATCTAAGTCGTTGGGCGGACTTTAGCTAATTCTGCGGTAGGAATATAAAAATACAAACTATTGTATTATTACAGGTTAAGGATTCTAAAGAGTATAGTTTCGATCCAGCCGGCACCGTGCTTGACATTTGTAAAATCTACGTCAATCTCAAGGACAGCGACGCGTTTTGCCTGGCAGTCTCACAAGATGGCCGTTCCTATAGTCCCAATCTTTTCTCATTGGCCGAAGATGTCTTAGTTCGAATTGGTTAGTATTAATAGTCAAAAAGTCATATTATTTCTTTTATTTAATATATGATATTTTTATAGGAGGTGGAACATTGATTGGTGAGCTAAAAGAAGTGGCTCAGAAAGTGGCTGAAAAAGCAATAGAGCACAAGGCAAATGAGGAAGCCATTTCAGAGGCTCCTGATCATTTCCTGGACCCTATCATGTCCACTCTGATGACCGATCCCGTTATTTTGCCCAGCTCTAGACAAACTGTCGATAGGACTACTATAGCCAGGTAACAAAAATCATATTTGATTTTGTACTACATTTGTTTATTAACCAGTAATATCATTTCAATTCAAAACTAGATATCTTTTTTGTATTTTTTTAACAAAAGAAAATTATTTAATATCGATTTATCCAAATTTAGTAAGGCATATCTTTGAGTTATCAATATATTTTCTACATCTCTAATTTTAAGGTCAGTTTATATTCGATTTTTTTGTACTTTTTTTCAACAGTTTTTGTATGTTGACATTTTTAGCAATACATGTGGATGTTTTGAAATGTCGATATTTTATTTACATCCCTAATTTAGATCACTTTTTATTCGTGATTATTTTTGTATATCGACACTTAGCAAGACGTATCGGTATTTTGAATAATCATCATCTACATCCCTAATTTATAGGGCAGCTTTTACTTGATTTTTTACTTTTTCCTTGATTAGTCATTTTAATATATTATTACGAGCACAAAATTATTTAATATTGAGAATGATTCAGCAACCCATATCCATATATTTTTTACATTCCTAATTTATACGAGTTTTTATTTGTTTTTTATACTATTTCCGTGTTTATTTTTTCTGTATCGACATTTAGAAATAAATATCGATATTTTGAATCATCGATACAGTTTCTACATCCCTAACTTATAGGCCAGTTTTTATTTGATTTTTATACGTTTGCTTTTATTATTTTTATGTATCGACATTTACCAAGACATATCGATATTTTGAATTACTGATACACTTCTACATTCTTAACTGAAAGGTCAGTTTTCTTCGATTTTATACCTTTTTCATTGATTATGTTTTGTATATCGACATTTAGCAAGACATATCGATATTTTAAATAATTGATATATTTCTACATACCTAATTTTTAGGTCAGTTTTTACTCGATTTTTTACTTGCTCCTTGATTAGTCTTTTTAATATATCACGCGCACAAAACTATTTAATATTGAAATATCTACATTTAGCAACACATATCGATAATTTGAATTATCTATACATTTTTTACATCCCTAATTTAGACGTTACTTTTTATTCGATTTTTATACGCGTGCTTTGATTATTTTTTGTGTATCGACATTTAGTAATACATATCGATATTATTTTGAATTATCTGTATATTTTATACATCCCTAATTTATAGGCCAGATTTTATTTGAGTTTTATACGTTCGCTTTGATTATTTTTGTGTATCGACATTTAAAAATACATATCGATATTTTAAATTATCGATAAACATCGATATCCCTCATTTGTAGGGCAATTTATTTTTCGATTTTTTTACTTTTTCCTGGATTATTTTTTGGTTCAACGGAAGAACAATAATATAATTGTTTTATTATTTCTTCCAGGCATCTGCTGAGTGATCAAACTGATCCATTCAACAGATCACCGTTATCCATGGATCAAATCGTTCCAAATCAAGAGCTAAGAGAAGAGATATCAAAATGGGTGGAGGAGCGTAAAGCTCGAAAGTAATTTTATTGACATTTCAAGCGTTATCGATATAAATGTTGTATTAAAGCACTTAGAAAAAATGAAAATTTTCGATATTCAATCCATGTTCTTATTAAAATAAAGTGACATCTTTGTTAATATAAGTCAAATAATATTGCATGAGATATACGTCTTTGTCATAGATTATATTTTATTTTAGGTGAAACGAATGAAAACGGAGTCGTAGTAGGCATCGAAACTAGAAAAACATTTTCTGCCTTCTTTGACGTCGTTTTTTTTATTACACGGTATATTCCATTAGAATTGTTATTATTGGTGCTAGCGCCACGTTTTGATAAATTTCCAATAATTCAACGTGATATTAAATTTAATAAATATTTTCTTACTGTATATTTGTATTATACATTATAATTGTTTTTTTTTTGATGTGTATGTATATTTGTTGATTTTAGTATATAATGTGAAAGTTTTAAATCTGAAAAAGGGTAATACATAATTATATTTCTTTTTAAATATATATTAGTTTTAAAAAGGGGTTATTGTTTTATTTTATCAAAGTTTCCTAGTAAAATTTTTCAGATTGTTTGAGATCTTTTTTAAATAAAATATTTCTGGCTTTTGATTTTGTGTTTTACTACAATATTAGTTTATTATACAGGGTATGACAAAAATGTAAATTTTTATAATTTTCGGAAGATTTTTTTAAAAAATCGTATTTTATTGGTTCAAATTATATTTACAGTTTTTTATCATTTCAATTCAAAAGTAAATTATTTTTTATCATTTATTGACAAAAATAAATTTTATTTAATTTCGATATATCGATATTATAAAGCAATACACATCTTGGAAAATTATCGATATATTTTTTACATCCCTAATTTATAGGCCAGGTTTTATTCAGTTTTTATACTTTTTATTTAATCATTTCTTATATATTGACATTTAGTAATACATATCGATATTCAAATTATCGATATATTTCGTACATCTCTAATTAACACGTCAGTTTTTAATCGATTTTTATACTCCTTCATTGTTTTGTACATTGACATTTAGCAATGAATGATATTAATTATCGATATATTTTCTCCATTCCTAATTTATAGGCCAGTTTTTGTTCTATTTTTCTATTGTTTCTTCAATAATTTTTTGTATATGGACATTTAGCAATATTTACATATCGATATTTTGAATTATCGATACATATTCTACATCTCTAATTAATAGATCAGTTCATCATTAGGTCTGTTCTCAGAAGAATCCCTGACTAGTCAGCACGTTTTTCATTGGTTAAAATGCGTAGAAACCTCTGATTGTTAGTCTGGTTTCTACACATTTCAACCAATAAGAAACGCGCTGACTAGTCAGGGATTCTTCTGAGAACAGACCTATTGACTATTCTGAAAACATTAACATTTAGCAAAACATATCGATATTTTGCATTATCGATATATTAGCTCCATCCATAATTTAAAGGCCTAATTTTATTCTTTTTCCTTGATTATTCTTTTATACATCGACATTTAGAAGTGGATATCGACGATATTTGATATTACCTTAGAAAAATAGATTGTTATACAGGGTGTACAAAGAAGTTGATTTTTTTCGCACTAATTCACCTTGTATTTTATTCGTTTTCGTACCGAAAGAAGTTAAAATTGAAACTCCACTACTCCATCATTTAAATAATTACTCCTTTACAGTTTTGGTGTTTTCCAGACTTTGTTTAAATTATTCTGGTCCTTTTTCCAAAATCTAATTTAATCCACGTAATGCATACAAAAATAGACTAAATGGAAAAGGAAAATTAAATTTGTAATACCGCCGCAAACCGAGACGTCACGAATCAGGAACTTTCTCTCTCTTTGCTCATTATACATTTAATCCCGAGGGATCATAAATTCACCCCATTTCACCCCAATGCACCCACCCTCAACCTAAAGGCGCGTGCGTAGCCCATATTTAAAAGATCCTGGAAAATTAGCCATTTAGATGTGTTGCCGCATTTTACGATTTTTATTTGACAGTTTGACAGCTTATTTTTTAACCGTTACTTATTGTTGAAATCGAAGAAATTTCTTAGGATTAACGACCGAGAAAAATCAAGGAATATCCTTGACTTCCTAGAGTCTATTACGCTGTACTTTAGGGTCGCTCTGAGGGGTTGGGTAAAGCGGGCGTGTGGCCGAAGGAAATATATATTATATTTCAGAAATCTGCCTTCCTGAAGTTCTATCGTGTTAAGCCATACCCAAAAATCCAAACATACGTGCTTTGATTAAGGCTTGATTAAGGTTTGCAGAGCTTCAGCATTTCTCATAAAATAGCGAGGAATTTGTTACAAAACCATATAAATTATATATCACTGTAATCACAAAACCTCAATCTATTTCCTTATTGTAACGGAATTTTAAATTATGTCTTTATTTCGAGAAAATTTAGTCCAAACGGATAAGGAATATGTTGTTGATGTTTGACCATCAAAATCTTAAAAATAAAGAAGTTGTCTAAAAGTGTGCTACAATACGGATATAGTATAATCCTTTATCTTTAATTTCCTTCTTCATTTGTGTAAAAATACCTAGCCAGTTTTACATAAAGCATCTTTCGATAGCGTGGATTCCTGCCTGAAGGATGCAGGAGTAGTTTTTAGATTTCGGCCAAAATACCCATATATAGGTAAATTCCCGACGACCAGGCAACAGCGCAACTCGTCCAGACACGTCGAACACGCGCTCGAGGACCGGCGGCGCCGCTGCCAAATCGCGCGCACAGCCGCCTGCGACGGCTGTACAACACAGCCTTCCATCCTCGCTAAATATTCATTCACATACAGCCGGTTCGAATCCCGCCTTCGCGCAGTAAAGACGACCGGTCTGGTGCAGCCTGCTGCGATTTCGACGTCGCTGTTTTTGTTTTTCTTGTTGTCGCTCGTCGCTTGTTTCCTTCCGGTGGTCGTAGCGGTGCCGGTAGTGGTGGTGGTATACAGTGGTTGGTGTGAGTGATTGGGGTTTGTTTATTTAGAAGGGGAATAGGCTGTGGAACAAGTGAAACAGGTAGGAACGAAAAGAAGGTTTGGGATTTTGGTCGGGGGTATAATCGCGTTGCTATAGAGATGTTTCGAGATGGAGAAAGGTCTCGAGAAGGGTGTTAAGGTCGAGATTATTCCTGAGTTACGTTTCTATATATATATATATATATTTGTTTGTTTTAAAAATGTTACTTTTGGAAATCCAATAATCGGATATTAAGATTATTTTAACATAATTTTTCATATAATTATTATAATTATTGCAATAATATTTCAAATTATCTATAAAGCGAATTGCGGGGGATGCCACAAGATCGATGTATATATTGTACTGGAATTAATGTTTATACAGGGCGAGTCTTAAATAAGTGCAAATATTTTTGGGGGTAGTATATTTCAATCTTAAACACGATTATGAGGTTTTTGTCGCGAAAAAAACAATGTGAAAATTGGAATGTTTTGAAAAAAATTCTGGAGTTTTTTAGTTAAAAAACATAATTTCTTGATAATTTCGCAACATAGGTAGTAAATTAAATTTGCAAGAAAGAAAACGCAGGAAAGAGCCGGTGGTCCTCAAGATTTTAGCAAAAAATAATTTTTTTGGAAATTTTCAAAGTAAAATATCTCGGTTATTTTGACAAACGGTAAAGAGAAAATATGTTTCTTTTATCGAGACCTGCCAGCCCTGAAAATATTTGCACTTATTTAAGACTCACCCTGTATATGTCTATACCTAGTAGCCTCCATCTCAAAATCATTGTTTATTGTTATTTTCAGAATCTATATGTATTAAAAATGTATGAATTATTAATATATATACATAATATATATTAACAATATTATAGTCATGAAATAATACAGTGGCGGACACAGAGGGGGGCCCATGGAGCCCGGACCCCCCTAAAATCTGTAAATTGGGTTACATATTAGCCTTTTGAGTTAAAAATGGCGCCCTAAAAAGCATATTCTACATAATTTTTTTATTTAGGCCCCCCTAAAATAAATTCCTGTATCCGCCACTGAAATAATATATTTATCTATAAAATTATTATCTATATCTAAGTCTAGCAGAACAAGAACATTATCTATATCTATACTAATATATAAAATCCTTAAGTGACTGACATACTGATTAATCACGATCCTGCTCAAAGCACTCAACGTAAGAAGCTCAATTTTGGCATACAGGTTGATTCTGGGGTGTAGAGGTTCGATAAGAAGGGATTTTTCGAAATTCCAGTTCCAAGGGGTGAAATCACCCCTCAAATATTACAATATTTTTTATTTAAAAAACGGTCAAGTTTCCGAAAAAACGCTTAAACACGTATATTCTATTTTGTTTTTTTACATATTTTAAGATTTTTTAAAAATGTATACAGGGTGTTTCCAAAAATCTGATCATTGATTAATCACGATCCTGCTTAAAGCGCTTGACGTAAAAAGCTGATTTTTGGCAAACAGATTGACTTTAGGGTGTAGAGGTTCGACAAGGAGGGATTTTTCGAAACTCGAATTCTAAGGAGGTGAAACTATCCCTCAAATATTAAAATATTTTTTATTTAAAAACCGCTGAGTTTTTCGGAAAAACTCTTAAACACGTATATTTTATTTTGTTGTTTTACATATTTTAAGATTTTTTATAAATTTATACAGGATGTTTCATAAAATACGACCATTGAGTAATCACGATTCTGCTTAAACTGCTTGACGTTTAAAGCTGATTTTTGGCAAACGGATTGACTGTGGGGTGTAGAGGTTCGATAAGGAGGGGTTTCTCGAATCTCAAATTCCAAGAGGGTGAAAACGCCCCTCAAATATTACAATATTTGTTATTTAAAAAACGGTTAGTCTTTCGGAAAAACGCTTGGACAAGCATAATTTATTTGGTTTTTTTTACATATTTTGAAATTTTTTATAAAGTCATACAGGGTGTTCCAAAAAGTTGGGTAATTTGTTAACCACGATTCTGCTTAAACTGCTTGGCGTAAAGAGCTTATTTTTGGGAAACGGATTTTTCGAAAGTCAAATTTCAACGAGATAAAACTACGCCTCAAATATTACCAAGTTATATAATAATATCGCCATATTGTTTTTTTCTCATAGTGTAGACATAAATGTGAGAAAATTTTATCCAGTTTGTATGTTAATCGAAATTCTTGCTTTGCTTTATCATCACCATTACAAATGATTAATTCGACGCGAACGAAGTCGCTGGTACACGCTAGTAGTTTATAAATGCATACCCTGTATATTATGTATACCCAAATTCACTTTATTTACAGACTACGTGATTTAACTAACGACTTCAGTAACTAACGAAGGGCTATTCGACAGATAACAATCGAAATAATTGAATTAACTTTTCCTTGTTTTTCTGTATCTACTACACCTTTAGCGCGTTGCTATAGCAATGTTTCAAACACAGAGGCTTTTTAGGGGAGGTTTACGAGCTAGGTAATATTTTAATTGGTAAACAAAAAAAAAACACGTAGTAATACAGCGAATATTTTGGAAATTTTCCAAAAATTGCGCGGTAAAACAGAGGAATTTTGATGAAGGTGTTAAAAAAAAAGGAAAATCTGCGCTATTTTGGGAGAGGTTTTTTTAATTTGCAAAGTTGTAAGAAATGATTGAAATAAAACAAAAAAAAAATAATTAAAATAATAATTAATATATAATAATTTATTTATCATCATGCTCTAATTTTGTATCAATAAAAAATTACAAAGTTTTTTAACAAATTTTTGCCTGTCTTTCTCGTAAATTGTTATAAATTATCTCTTGTTAACATGGAAGTATGTTATTCAAGTTAAATATTTGCGATTTTTACTATACCTGCATACCATTAATAAATTAGATCTGCTTTTTGAAGATAATGAGTCAATTTCAAAATGAGCGTCATGCAATATGTTAGACAAACCCTAGGGTTATAAATAAAATACACTTTGCCAAGGACAAGATGTGGAAGGGCAAAAGAAATCAATAATAGTTAAACAGAAGCATTAAAGAAAGTATTAGAAAAAGTAGAGAAAATTTTATGTTTTCAGAATTTTAGGAATATAGTTGATTATAAAATTGATTTTTCACGAAATTTTAATTTAAAAGAAAGATGGTAAAATATGAGAATTTTTTTTATTAATATTTAATATGTTTTAACAATAATTAAAGTAGCTTTTATAATTCTTATTATAAAATTATTTATTATATAAAATTATTATAATTCTTATTATTTATAAAACACGCCTCTATTTTTGTACAATAGAATCCGAAAATCAATTAATATACAGGCTGTTCTATTATAAAAATACACCTTCAGTACGTAACCATTTTTGGGATACTCTGTAGAACTCTATACAGGGTGTCCCAGAAATAAGTGTAAGTGTTTTAAGGGGTGGTAGATCTCGATAAAAGAAACATATTTTGAATATATACTTGAATCGTTTTTCAAATAAGTCCAAAATAACGGAGTTATTTTACTTTGCAAATTTCCAAAAACAAATGATTTTTTGCTAAAATTTTGAGAACCACTTGATCTTTTCTGGATTTTCTTTCTTGTAAATTTAATCTACTACCTATGTTGCCATATTATCAAGAAATTATGATTTTTAACTAAAAACTAAAAAAAAATCCAAAACATTTTTAAAAAAATTCCGATTTTTCAATTTTTTTTTTGCTAAAAAAGCCTCATAGGCGTGTTTCTGGGGTTGAACTGTACTACCGGTTAAAATACTTGCACTTATTTCTGGGACACCTCGTATATTTTAAGAAAATACTCCAAATTACCTACACATGCTCTCAGATACCTATGCCTATGAGAAAAAACACTAAAGCCAATTTTTATATGTAAAATTTATTGAGTTACCTATTTTAAAAAACTTTAAAAAAAATTCTGTCGTATAAAAACATATATTATTTTTAATTTCATAATACAATAGGTTGTTGCAATAATTGAATTCAAAGGTCATTTTGAATTATTAATTATACGTAATACAAATACGAACAAGTATATGATAGCAAATGTGTAATTTCTATACAGGTAAAAAACTAATATTTTAAAATAATTAGTGGGGCTGTCGATATTTAGCATTGATATTTTCAATTACTATGCAAAAATAATGTTAATAAGTTAATAATATCGATTTTGTTACACATTTCTACTAGCTAACCATAAAGAAAGTACTCATAATATTTATCTCTACTTCAAACTAAGCAATCGAAAAATGAAGGTAGGTACGTAGCAGGTACTTGGTACTGAATTAAATCTAATTCAGGTTAACGTACAGAGCATTCTAATATTAAAAGGCAGCGGCAAATAGCCTTGGCATTCATGATGCCGGCAAAAACTATTTCTGGTTTAAGTGTTTTCTATCTGAAAAAACGCATTATCTAGTCCTGCCATCGTTCTAGAACCCGCTAATGAGTATTTGTACGGTTTATTTTGTTGTGTATTCGGTTTAAAAAATTTCGTTACACATCCTACATTCTGGCCTTGTTCAGGTGTACGTAACATATTTGTTTAATACATATTTGTTGAGTATGTACACAAAATGTAAAAGTTGTGAAATGTTGACAAACATATTTATTTAGTAGGCACCTATATTATGGAAAAAAGATTTCTTTAATGAATATTATTTTCATAATGATGACACTTTTAATTATTTTTTTTCCATAGCAACTGTTAAAATTGCCGTATATCTATCAAAAATAGTAGATAAAATAGTAGAATGGCGTTTGTCGTCTCAGCCTCAATATCTGTTGGTAATTTACTTATTTCGTTTTGAGCCATTTCTGGCTCCAATTCAATCAGCAATCGACACGAAAGAGAATTAAAAATATTTACTCAAAACTGACAACTAAAGAGACAGCTTTATTTATTTGTCAAATTACATAGAAACCAACGCCAACCCAGCACAATATTTTTTCTACTCGTAATAAATTCCTTGAAATAATTATTTCTGAATATTTTTTAAAACGTAACTCGCTATGGAAAAAAATATCGTTTTATACACGACGATAAAATTGCAT